ATGCAGTGGAAGCGATAGCCTTTCTTACGTTCAGAGACTGCAGGAGGTGAAAGCTGCTTTCCTTTCAGAAGTCACCAGCGGGAAGTAGTGCTCCAGGCGTGGGCCTCGGGCCACTGTGTCCTTGTGCAGCCTGGAGGAGAGCACTGTGCTGACAGAACTGCTGCTGCTCCCCAGATTCCAGGAAGGAGTAACCCCGTACAGCTGCTGCTTGCAGTCTGCTCGCCTTTCTGCTTCCAGCTTGTATGTGGGATTACTGCAGAGGCGAAGTGTGGGAAGGGAACCGATCCTTCGGTAGGGTGGGAGCGAGGGTCTTGGGGGCCACCGTCTCTGTGGTGTTACACAGGCGTCACCCGCAGCGCTTTTTTGAGACTGCTCGGGGTTGATGGGCTTCAAAAGATACAAGGCCGTGGAAAAAAGTACAAGTTTCTGTTTGCGTAAGTTTAATGAGCCCTCACTAAAGGTTTAGTGCATAGACTCCGACCTGTTTCACTTCAAGTGTCAGGTATGTTTGAACTTTAAGTGAAACATTAGCTAACACATGTCTGGATTTTTCTCATCAAGAGGCCCTATGTCTCCAGATATTTTCTGGGATGCGAGTCCTTTACTCAGGTTTTTCATGACTAGATTTTGACAACTTTTGTCTGTGATGCTTTTAGTGTCTTAAAGCAAGTAGCAAGGTTGGATTCAGCCCATCATGTGAGAGGGAGAACATGTCTGTATTCCCTGGAGCTAGCTGCCCTCCTGGGGGAAGACTTAAAGGGACACGTTTACTAAAATGAACTGCTAGCAAGTGGAGATATTCTGGTGTCTGCTCTGGGGAGATGAGGGGGAGTGTGTGTCAAGCCTGTGCACTTAAGGAAAAAGAATGGATAACAAGCTAGTTGGTTTTCCCCTGCCCCATTTTATGACCTCTTTTACAATTAAATAGGGAAGATAAACTGCTGGAAGCTAAACTTACCTCAAGTGAAAAAGGGAAAGGCAGTATCTGTATCCTAAATGGACTAAAATCGCTAGCTATATTAAAAGTAAAACTGTGTATAGGTAAGTGCCCTCAAGTAGTAGGATCTCTCCTTCCTGACTGCAAAATTTGGAGGATTTCATCAAGAGACACATTTGTACAGTGAAGCTGATTAGACACAGCTGTCAAATCCACTATGTAAGCAATTTTAAAAGTTAATGGAAAATTATCTTTTTCTATTTTGCATATGTGTTTGGAAAGGAAAGGAACTTACTAGTTGGTATGGTGGAAGGAATAAGACACACCACTATATATTTCTATGTTTTGGTTATTATCTATTACAAATTCACTAAACAAAAAAGATGCTGCTGGACATTGTCCACCTCTGCTTCATCCCTGTGTGCATGAATGTTTTGGCAGAGTCTCCTGTAAACAGGATGTGGAGCTGTGAGAGCCCTGTTTGACTGCAGTTGTCAGTGTTTTGGAAAGCGTATGGACAAATTCTAGCTGCTTGTATCGTGTGTGCGTACACGCGCGCGCAACCTTCCTGTGTTGCTTCTCCTGAGATACTATTAATTTAATCTCTTTGAACTTGATCCCAAAGACCAAATACTCTGGATTAAAACCAGCCTGTAATATTGCCTTTTGTTTTTTGCCATTGCTGCATTACTTTTCCTGTGACGTTAATCTTGAATTGTTTGAAAAAGCCTTAAAGCTGACTAGTTAGTACGTGTTTCTTGGTAGTACTATATGAACAATGTTTTAATGATGTTGAAAAAACAAGCTTTGTTGCAGAGCTGAGACACAGACCTTGGTATATAAACCCTCCTGAAATGGAGACACACTTCGGTGGAGAATCTCTAAATGGGATGCTTGAATGGTTTTTTTCCAAGTAAATAAATATTGCCTCTTACTTAGTTTCAAGAAACATGGCACACAGCTGCTCTTTACTTCTTGTTGTAAAATAACGGACCATTTGCTGACTGAAACAAGCTATTGGCATTATTGCTAGCAGCTGCTGAACTCTTAGCGTTAACTTAAGCAGCCCATAAATGTTAATCATGTTGCAGTTTTCTTAGAACTTGTCTGCGCATCCCAGAGGCACTAGCTAATATGTCATGCTTTTTTCACATGAACTGATGACATTTTGTAGTGGAGATTCCAAATAGTAACTTCATAATTCAGTAGTTTTACTGTGGTGACTGAAGTTTCTGCAAAACTGCACTTTTAACTACAGCTTCGCTAGTACTAGTATAGCTTTATTTAGACATGTTTCAGTAGGCTCAATGCTGCTGAGCATGCGGTGGAATGAGTACACAGTCGAAGGGAATATGCTGTCTGCTTACTGACCTGTTGTTTGGAGATCTATGACAGTCAAATCCAGATCTAAACTGAACAAAATCGCTTCAGTTTATCCCATGTTTCAGTTTAAAGTCACTCTCTATTGTAATGGTTTTGTTGCTGTGCAAGTGTGAAAAGTTTACAGGAAATGTAAGAGTTGCTATAGAAATGTATATTAAGTTATCTGCATAATAAGCAATTAAATAATATGCTGTGGTCTTTTAACAGTCCCTCCCACTCTTCTGCCAGTGGGAATGTGTTCTTAAAAACAAGACAAAGCTCCCAAACAAACTAATCCTTTCCTTCCTTCAGGTCAGATTCTACTAGTGTTCTCTGTAAAAAAACAAACAACAACAACAACAAAAACCAACCAAACAAACAAAAAACCAAACAAACACAAACCCACAAAAAAAAAACCCACAAAAAAAACCCCACCACTGTTAAGGTCCCAGAACCTGGTTTTGAGCTTGTCAAAATGATTGTAAATGTAGCACTAATGAAAGCATAGATAATAAAGTAAAAGCTGCTGTGTTGTTTTAGAAGTTTAACTTTTTGATTTTAATCATTGTGTAGGTCAGAAAGAGGATAATGTTGTTGCTAGTGCATTCCATATAGAGAAATTATGCTTACTGCGTTTAAAATCCTTCTCTCATTTTTATGTGAACGTTAGTGGAACTTTTTCTCTCTAGGGCAGTGGTATATGTTTACCAGAACTGCTCTTTTGTGCCTCAAGGCATACTGCCTACCAAACCAGTTGAAATTGCAGTTAGTCTAAGCTTTTGATATTGGCCTGTGAATGCCAGATAGGTCTTAACTTCAACATGACCTACAAAGCTATATATGTAGTCTCTGCTGTGTGTTTGGATGATGTTTTGGTTATATGCATGTATGCTGTTCCTCTTTAGAGTTCTCTCCTGGCTGCTTACAGAGGAGTTTGTGCCCCTGACAAGATGTACAGGACAGGGCCAAGTATTGCAGACTGATGTTGAACAGATCCTATCCTGTAAGGTGGGAGGTCCCAATTTGAGCTGGAACCTCTTGGGCTTTGCAAGATAGACTTCCTGCAAGGAAATGTAGTTTGGAGTGTGGAAGATCATAAACAGGACTAGCTTTTTTGTGGTTGTTAAAATATCACACCAAGTATATGTAAGGCTAACGCTACAACATACAGAAATCTGTGAGCAAGATTTTGATCTCAGAACATTCAGTCATCTTATTTCCAAGGACAGGAGTAAATGCCACTCTTCAAGTAGGTGGATGTGAGAATTTATGTTTGGTCTTGCTTCTAGAAGCCCAGAGGAAGATTGGATGGTACACAATCTAGTAGTTTTTGGTTACAAATGAAACAGAAAACTCCCTGGAAAAGCAGAGGGGACTCCAGATTGTGTGTGTGGTTAAATTAGAACTGCATGACTGATGTTTTGGGAAAGACATAATTGTAAAAAGAATTTTAGATTTTTTGTAAACTTTCAAGCTCACTTATTTGTAAAGTGGTGGTGTAGTTCATTACGGAAAGTAACTGACCATACAACTATCAGTTCTGGTCACATCTTTTTCAGTGGTTTTCAATGCGTTTCTAGTTTATTTCCCTCCTCCTCCAAGGTCCACCTGAAAATTCTGCTGTCGCCTTTTAATTCAGTCTCATCTATATGCATGTCTCATGCAGGAGATCAAGACAGCTCACTGAGATTAAATACAACTTCAAATATCCAGAGTGGTGCTTTAAATGAAAAAAGAAAGAAGAAAAACCTCAAACTGAGTATCTCAGTGATGCCTGTATATGCCTTGAGCCTGAAAGTAATTTTCTTGTGCCATATTCTTAAACTGACAGCATAGAAGCATGCACAAATGACTGGGTCCAAGAAATGAGTTAAGAAAATGATGACCTGAATTTTGATTCTCCTCAAAATTCTGATCCAGAAATACCTTATTGTGGCTGTACTCTAAGTTAAACACTTAGAGTTTTTTCAACCACATGCATATATTTGGGCTTTAGTGTGAATTGGGTGCTGATGAAAAGCATAAATGACTTATTGAAAGTTGTCTGACAGATGTAGAAAGCCATGTACCTGACAAGTCTTGATTAATGCTATAGTCTGAAGACTAATCTCAGAGATTAATCTCTGGACCAAAAAATGAGATGGACAAAGAAACAAATCCTCCTGAGTAAGAAGCTTTCCTTGTTTGTTGGGTTTTGGGTTTTTTTTGATAATTCTGTAACCCTACTGAAAAGTGTGAATGTGTGACCTAAATGTTTTTCCAAATCAGTGACTGTTCAGAGTCTCTGAGTGAAGGAATAATTTGATCTTAAACGTGAGGTCCTGCATTCAAGGATTTGACTTTGGGTATGCAGAAGATTTCAAGAAAGCAATAAAGGAGCTGGCAGAACTTAGAAGCAATTCTTTGCAGCTATACAGTTTGAAACCCAAATAGGCTAGTGAACTGCTATTCAAGAAGCGCTTGCCTGTCCAGGTAGCTCTGGAGGTACATCACCAGTACCGTCTTTCATATTACTTGTGTGACTCATAAGTAGGAAGAGACACTCAAGTTTATTAGGGAGTAACTTGTGTGTTAGTGGATAATTTGTGTGGGGAGAAGGAAAGTGGTGAAGAACTGAAACATTAAAAGTGGCAAAAGAGAGGTTGTCGAAAGTACTAATCACTCTTTTTTTAAAATTTTTTTCTCTCTTGCAGACCTTCAAGTGCTGACCTTATCGGTCTATTAAGTTATTATAAACTTTTGCTGCTCTGCGAACATATAAAGATGTCTCGCAGCCCCGATGCTAAGGAAGACCCTGTGGAATGTCCCCTTTGCATGGAGCCTCTGGAAATTGATGACATCAACTTCTTCCCTTGCACCTGTGGCTACCAAATCTGTCGTTTCTGTTGGCATCGTATCCGCACTGATGAGAATGGACTTTGTCCTGCTTGCAGAAAGGTAAATATCCTGGAAACAGCAGCTTGTCTTGCACTTATCGCAAGGCTCTTGCATTGTGTTGGTACCAAAGACATCCTTTTCCTTCGGGGAAACATTCCTCTAGTCATGGCCTAGATCAAGGGTGAGGTGTTGGATCTTTCTGTCTGCATATGCGTTGAAGCTGTTGTGCAGCAGCTAGTCTTGTTTTGTTAAATTCAGAACTGGATTAAGAGGGGAAGCTGTGGATCAGAACCAAGGCATGCTGATTCTGGGAGAACTGCCAAAAAAACCCCAAATCCTTTGAGTTGGGGTGCTCATGCATTGACAAGTCTTTTCAGGAAGGACAGAGAGGATTGCAGCACCAGGGGTTTGCTGAGGGCCAAGGTTCAGCTAAACTAGCAGAGCTGTCTGAGGCAAGCTTATAAAGCACCTGCTTGTTTTGTTTGTGGCACTGGAGCTTTTAATCCATATTTTTCTGGACGCTAAACATGTAAAACCTTTGGAAAATACATCCAATGGTGTTAAACTTCAAAGCATTTCAAAATCTAGGCTAAGTCTGTTTGTCTAGTATTCTGATCTTGTTGCCAAATGCTTAAAGGTAGTACTTTGAGAGTCACACTTAATTTCTCCCTGTCTCTTTATTGATGTCTGGCTGATACTTTGGTTGGCCACAACTATAAACTTCAGCTTCACTAAGTTGCCTGCTTTTTCCTTTGAATTATTTTCCTCCTCCTTTTAGTGTTTTGCTTAACCTCATTATTTCCTGATCTTCGGTATTTAATAAAATTCTTTCTCAATATCTTCTTCTCTTTAATGGTTTCCCTTGACTTAACTTTCTTGCCTGGCCTTCCTCTTTTTGTAATCACAGCTACTTATGTCTCCTCTTTCTCCTGCTATTTAATCGTGATCCTGTCCTCAGTTTATGCCTTTGTTGGCTTCCTGTCTCATATTACAGCTCCCTTTTCAGACCCCAAGCAGTCTTACTTGGTCTTGCTATCTTTATTCACTGCCACAGCTTTTTATAAGCACTTCCAGTCATATTTTCCTGCTGCTCTTTTGGGCTTTGGCTACACTAGAGCTTTGACTGCTAACCTGTGTTTGAACACCTCTGCAAGCCTGAAGGCTCTTCCACAGCAGCATACGTTTGTTAACAAAGCGCACAGATTTTCTGAAATACTTGTGCTGTATGTTCTACAAGGAAGATCCACCTGTCGTCAGCCAGATCAGTCTCCACATGTGATACCTGCTGTAGATGCTGTATAGTAATTTTCATATTACAAGCAAATTCTGCTCTTCTGGTACAACATGAGATTTCTGGAATTTCCTTGTCTGTAAGTCGCTTGATTTACCTGGATTTATTATACCACTTTTTGCCAACAACTATTTGATTCATCTCTGGCTGTTTCTTATTGGAAGTTCGTGGAATATATCTGAAAAATCACAGAAGCAGCATGCTGTTCACTGCCTCTGGGTATCTGAATTATTTGAAATACGGATACTGCAACAGCTGAACTTTTTAATGTGGAATAATCTGGCATATGATTGGATGTGCAAATATTTTGCTGAATGGGATATAGTTTGCTCAGAAAAACAGTTTCAGAAAAAAAGCTAGAAGGAGTGCTGCAATTGGAATGAAGCACACTGACCATTTCAGGAGAAGAAGGAGAATTCTTTCACAATGGACGAGGATTATGTTGTCGATACTTTCTTCATCCATGGATTGCAAGATACTCTTGAGTAGAGTGGTACCTGTATTGCTGGATTGTAGGAGATATGCGTGGAGGAGGCTGAGGAATACACTCCTTTTGTGGCATAGACAGAGACATTGTGGTGCAGAGACCACAACAGGATTTTGGGAATAAATAATTTCAAGATACACAGTTGATGGCAGTATCAAATAAGTCTGAAGAAGCCACCTTTTGAAGTGTGCTGGACCTTCTGAACAAGGTATGTGTCTTTGCGTGCAGTGTGTCTAAATAGTTCCTGTCTGTATGTAGTACAGTTTTCTGGGGAAAATGTCTAAGCAGTTTTCTAATTCATATCTACTACGATGTGTATCTGTTGTGGCCACTTAAAACGCTGAAGCGCAAAAAATGGCAAAGCAACAAAATCTTTGCAGGAAAGTTTATAGTAGGTACTATGGTTTCAACAGGTGCATCGTGTATAATGCGTATACCACTGCAGGATACTTACTGCAAAATGGACTGAAAATAAACATATTTTAAAGCAAGACTGAGTATGTTATGCACAGTTACGTAATTGAAAACTGCTGTTTGTGCCAATGGTATTGAATGCAATGAGAATTTGATCACTAGTCTGTGGAGACGAGCAATGAACAAGTTCCCTATGCAGGGATTTTAGTTGAAAAGTTTGGGGGAGATTTTGGAAGAGTCTGTGATATGGCTATACACTGTAGTGGCACCTATGCCATTAGTTTCATATATGTTAAACATGCATTGCATATATACCATTATTTTCTTAAGCTTCTCTATTTTACTTCTAACTAAAAAGATGTTAGTTTGCAGTTTTTTCTGCCAAGGAGAACGTGCTTCTAACTGTTACATAGCTTAACACTGGCATGTGCAGAATGTGTTCAAATGGTTGCAGTCAATTGAGTTACTGTGTCTTAAGTTTCCTCCTGTTAGTAACAGTAGTAGACAAACATTTTCTTTGTTTTGGTTTGTGAAAGTAAGGTGCTAGTAAGATTTTAACTTGAATGCTGGTTGGAAACTAGTATTTGTTAGTCTTAACACATTAAAAGCTTTCTAAACTTTGTCTGAATGTTCTGAAATAGACTCAGAAATTGTTTCTGTTCGATTCATTAAATACAAAAAGTACTTCCTTAAAAAATAGAACTGACCTGCTTCGAGTTCCTGATGCCCTTCAGAATTGTAGGTGTAGTCAGTTGTAAGATGCTAAGCAAGCATTCCTGTTTTTTCCAGTCAATTAATTTCTTAACTGTGAGTGAAATAGCTACTAACTAGTCAAATTAGAATGAAAATACGCTGTCTTCAAAAGAGACTTCTGTAGCCAAAAGCTGGTTTACAGGTCACCAGACTCACTGGTTCTGGTTGATTTTTATCTTTGTGGTGATTTTTCTTTGCAGTGACTTTTCCTTAAAATTCAGCGGCCTAGGTACTGTGTGTCACAGGAATAATACGTACTGTTTCAGTTGCTTGTGTTGCTTTAATAGAGCGTAGCGCTTTCAGACCTTAGTGAGAGTTCCTGCAATTTTAAAATCCAACAATAAAAAAGCCTAGCTCCTTCACTTTTCTTAATTGCTTTGCCCTTCCACCAAATTCTATAACTTGATACACAGCTGTTCCTGTGGTGTGGCTTTGCCATGTTCTCCAGTTCATTTATGTAGCGAGCTTTATTCCTCCTAGCACCTTGTGTTAGAGATGGAAAGAAATAGTAAACTGCTGCACTTATGACCAAGAAACTAACATGTTCTAAGCATGTTTTTGTCCATGTTTCTCCTCCTTCTGTGCAAGAGGAATACCTGGTGAGAATGCACAGTCTCCAAATGTCAGTTGTTTCCTCTGGTGCTTTTAATCCCACAACTGAGTAGTTTGGTGCAACAATTGATATTTAGAAATACATAGGAAACTGCTATTTTTTATTCTTGATATAAGTAGTATGGTGTATACTATGCGTAAACCTCATTGACTTTCTCTATATTTCTCATTTCAGAACCTATTCGGTAGCAAGGCAACAACTGGGAAATGTTGGTACATCCATTGTGTGGAAGGAATGTGACCCATCTGGCAATGACAAAAGCAAAGTGCTTGATAAATCCTAGCTCAGCTTTCAACAACTGGGAAAATAATGGGGAAAAAAGTCTGAAAGAAAACAAAACTTAAATGACAAGACAAACTTAGTCAGGAAGACTGAGAATTCATCAAGGGCTGTCTCTGATTAAAGAAGCAAGACTGCAGAAGAGACATTCGAACTTTTGAAGTTCTTGTAGAACTGCCAGCAACTTACAGTTAGTGTGAACAAAATCTGGTCATTTTCCATGTTGACATATCTTGCTCAGGTGGCTTCCATGATTTTTAATGAAGAGGATTTTGTAACTTAAGTCAAGGGTGTCAGCTACACTTAGTGAATCAGTGATGTTGATGTCTCTTAATGTCTTGCATCTCAAAATACATAAAGGCTGATAATACTTGATGTAGCTAGTTTGCTTGGATATCAAATCCTCTACTAGCTAAGGAATCAGTGATACAGTTAAACAAGTATCTTATGCCTCCTGGATGGTGGGGAGCAGGAAAAGTGGTCATGTCAGTAGCTTTGCCACTTTAGCTGTTGCAAGGCCTGAGAGCTTCTGGTACCCGTGTTCCTCCCTCTACCACTATTTTGCAGGGTTCAACAGAGTAAACAGATGAAATGGTACTGTGAGATACATCAGCAGTCAATCCACCTTGCTTGGCCTTCAGAGCCACGTTCCACCAGCTTTCCCTGCATGCATTCTGTGTGTAGTTGAACTGTATCGTCTGAGTTCATGAACTTCAACACTGTGGGAAGCAATCACTCTGAAGATGAAATCATTTACTGTCGTATTTCTAGAATGACTTTGTGTCCATATTTGAAAGGAACAAGATTTCAAATACTTACTATTTTTTAGAATTAGCTTCTGAAATGTTGGTGCTGTGCTTACTTGCCTTCCTCTCTCCTTAAATGTGCAATGTCTCTTATCTGTCATCATGCCACACATGATATATAGATAGGAAAATAATCTATTCCTACTTAGGATTGGGGTTCTGATTTATTCTTGGAATTCAAGAGGTGCATGCAGATTCATTTACAAGTCCAGCAAGTCAGGATATCGCAACTACTCATATTCCTTAGAAGCATTAAACATGTCATAAGGGATAAACATACATATGAAACATTACATATATATAATACAGCTCTACAGTATCTAGTGAGAGCTTTTGATGATTCTGTTGCTCAAACAAGTGCTGTTACCTATGGTGACAAATCAACTTCTGCTACTTTTTAATGCTTGATGTCCTTATTCAGGCAGTCTTGTACTTTCTGCTGAGATGAAGACGTTTCTCTTTCCTGATTCTGAAATTGCTTTTCAGCTCTGTGCCTCCCAACAGTTGTTGTGCTTATCTGTACAAATACAACCTACTAGTTTTACTATGGACAAATAAACGTTCTGCTCAGAGTTATGCTTGAGCTACCCAGGATGTTTCCTGACTAATATTCAGGACTTTCAGTAGCAAATAGTTGTACAGAGAAGGAACATACTGTCTGACTTGCTTGTCATTTGAGAATATGCTCTTAATGTGGCTATACTTGGCAAGAAGGGAGCTAATGAACTTTGTCACTGTGTGCTGTAGTTTTCTTGGACCTTCAGGAGCCTTAATGAACCTACTGAAAACCATGAATTGGTTTCTTGCATAGTACCAGAGCAGCACACTTGCAAGCCTTGCCTTGTGTAGTGTGAGATGTGGAAAATGAATTAATCTCTGGAAGGATGGATTGTGGGTATGATACCACATCACTTGATGTAGGATGAGCCTACTTCTGGAACTTATAGTACTTCTGGAACTGTATCTGCCTTACACTGCTGCATTTGTTTTCCTCCCATCCCTACTTGAACTCAGCTTGACTGTGATAATTGAATTAACTCTTTGTGCCAAGCAGTCTTTCTCTTCCCTAAAACAGAACAATGTCTGTTCTTTATTCGACATGATTGACTAACACAGACTTTGAGAAGCTCTTCAAAGAAGTGAAATGCCTTGCAGAATTATTCTGCATCTCTGAAGTCCTCATGTGTGCATGTGTTAAAGTGTGCATGTGTTTAAACTCGAGATAATCATTGGCTATAGGTAATCTCAAATGACCTTACTAACAGGTCATTGCTCTTCATCAAGTATGTTGTGAAATCTGTGCACGATATTCAGTGTTACTTGTGAGTAACATAATTTAAAGAAATGGTATGGTTTCAACTGTTCTTCAAGGGTAACGTGAGTCCTTATTGTGCTTTCATGCTAAGGACTTAGTTGTGTACCTTTTGGCTACTGCTGAAGTATCTTAGCAGTTTAAATTCTTTTGTGATAATAAAAACATGTTCCAGAGGATTTCGTGTTTAACCATGAGATGCCATCTGCTGAACTCACTGCAGTGTGTTTACAGATGTCTCAAGTATAGCATAACAATGCTCAACTTTAAACTCTTCAAACTGTAAAATGGATCTTGTTTTGTTTGGGGTTGTACTCAGAAGACTACCAGGTCTGAGCACTTGATGGATCTTCCAGTAGCATCATAAAAGTATGAGGAATATATGCTTTTAACCTAAACCTTATTTTCATCCACTGCTGTAGATTTTTCTCAGGTCATTTAGTATGACGACTAGTTTTGTATTTTACCATTAACAGAGGACAGTCAGGAAAAAGTTAAATTGATTTTTTTTTTTTTAAGACTTGCACACTGAAACCTTTGTTTATGGTAGTACAAGCAAAGAACTTAGTTCAACATATTGGTGAGCTTAATTTCTTTATCTTAAGTCTTTCCTTAATGCACTTTTCCTGTATTTTTCTCATTTTTTACATTATCTCAGTGTTTAGAAACACTTCTTTTTGCTTGAGATGATGGTTTTATATATTTGCTTCTGTGCTTAGCATCGCTTTGTATATAAAGTGTGAAATCTGACTTTCCAGTCTGAGAAAACTGGGACAGGTAAGGAATAAGGGACTGCTTTGAGGAGTAATCTGGGACAGAGGACAGTGCACTGTAGTCTACAAGACCAGGCTAAGATAGTGCCTTTATAGCATGCTCTGCACGTATAGAACAATCTTTCTAGGTAACTCTGAGGACACTTGTACTTCTGCTAGGTACTTTTGAGATTAAAATCTACAGTTTTATGTCTGTGTTTGAGGAGTTATCTGTAGATGATAATCTTGAGGTTAAAAATGTACCTTTGTCCAGGGAAGACAAAGTCCAGGTTTCAAACTGGTACACAGGCTTGGCAAGAATATTGTTAAATCAGTATGCAGAAACTATATTGAAATCTATCTCTTCACTAGGAGAAGTTAACCATATAAAGATTGAGCTTTGTAATGGTGTTACTGTCTTGACCTTGGTGGGCCACTGAAATTACATTTGTATTTTGATTTCTTATCCTGTGGTCTTTACTTTAATACACTTAAGTATCCAAATCTGTATCAGACAACTAAACATAACGTGAATATGCAAGGCATGCTTTCACCCTGCTTACTATACTACCTTGGTGAATAGGATGTGTTGGCTGTTGTGTTGCAGCTGCTTGTAGTGTTACCAAACTGACTAGGCAGCCAGGTTACAATGTGGCTATTGCTCAAATCAGTATTATTTCTATGGACATGGAATTCCATTAAAATATGCAAGATGTTCACCTTTCCCAAAGGACTGAATATGATACTCCTATAATGTGGCTGGCCATGGCAATCAGAACAATGTAACAGAAGAAATAAGTTTGTGCATTAAAACATCAGGATTAATGATTTTCAAATGTGTTGTTTCTTATATGGGTTGTTTTTAATGGTATATATTATATTTAGCCATATCCAGAAGATCCAGCAGTGTACAAACCACTCTCCCAGGAAGAGCTGCAAAGGATAAAAAATGAAAAGAAACAGAAACAAAATGAGAGGAAACAGAAGATATCAGAGAATCGCAAACATTTGGCCAGTGTACGGGTTGTACAGAAGAACCTCGTCTTTGTGGTAGGGCTGTCTCAGCGCCTAGCAGATCCAGAGGTGAGCAGTTCACACTTGCAGATCTTGCTCTTAACTTACTGCTCAGGAACCATTGGAATACCCTTGTGCCCACCCTTGTCTGTCTCCCTAATGGATACAAAATGAAACAGCATTTAAAAGATTCAGTGCTGTTGAGGCCCCCTCTTCTTAAGGGAGCCTACTTAGCTTCCTCCTCCAAAATAATTTCAGTAAGTGTTTGTCTCTGCATTTTTAGAATTTTTTTAGGTACTCATTTTCCTGTGCTGGATCTGCTGTCACTATACAGCTGTCATGCACCAGCAATTCTAAAATGGGAGCTTGGTTGCATTATAAAGAACAAATATAAAGTGTAGCACAAACCTGTAGGGACAGAAGAAAAAGGCCAACGCTTGAAGTGTAACTGGGAGGGTGCATAAGAATGATGTTTGTTGAGGGGGGGAAAAGAATTAGTGAGAGGAAGACCCAGGAAAGAGTTGGCTTGCTACTCTGCGTCATCAAAAAGAAGCTTTTCACTTGAGAAAACTGATTGTGTTTCAGATGTTTTATTTACTTCCATCACCCGTCAGCTGCAGGTGGCTAATGGAATTGGTGGTAATGATTAAAAGTGCTTTGAATTAGAATATGGAGGGAATGTACTACAGGATAAGATTGATGTCTTCGAAACTACTGTGCTAAGTTCAGTTCATCTGATCAGACTAAGTTGTCTGGAGAAATCTTAAATAGAAGCGACTGTTTCTGAGGACTCACAGAGTGTGAGCTACATCTTGGTAAACTGGGAGAGCGCAAATGTAAAAAGCTGCTTTTTAACCTCAGGTAAATCCACACGGAATACCTGAAGTGATTAGAAATGCATTTATTGGTGTAGTAAGGGGCAGGGAGGTTGTACTAGGTTTGTTGGTAGCAGTATTCTCACTGACATACCAGAAGATAACGTGTACTTACTGAGTATTGCGTATAGCACCAAGATCACTTGATTTCTAAGAAACCTAGTCTGAAAGAGAGAGATGAGCTGAAAAAAAGTGTTCAATATATTCGATTTAAATTTTCCACTTAAGCAGGCAAAAAACTCCTGCACAAATAAAGACGATTTAGAAGGGGAGATTGGCTGCTATGTGCTGTTTCTGGAAATAGATCTGTGGATCATAACGTAGTACAGGTGGATCCACTTCTGTTGACAGACTCTTGTGAAAATTGTGAAGACCATGCTGCTATATCTTATCAAAGAGTATAATTTGCAAGACACTTGAAGAAACTCTTCTGCTTTACTCAGGATTGTCAGTCTTCTCTGGAATGATGCCTGAGGGTGGGTGTAGGATCTTTCAAGAGGGCGTAGATCAAGAGAAGAGCAGTGAGAAGAGACCAGTGAGTGACTGGTTGTCTGTGCAGTGTGCCTTGTAGTTCTACATGATATTCCAAATGTGGTTAATGCTCTTAGATCTTGAAGACATTGATGCTCCCTTAAGAAGAGAGAGGAGGTGGTTAGTTATAGAAGTTCGTGGATCAGTATGGTTTAACTGTACTATCCAGAGTTAATATGAAGATGGAGCTGGGGAAACAAATCTTCCTTTTTAACCTCTCAAGTTATTGTCTAGAACTAGAAATACCCTTAGCTTATCTAGCTTCAGTCTGAGTAGACAGTACTTCTGCACCTCCTTCCATCACAGGGATAGAAAAAGAAGCCTTTTGGTACCAAGTGTGTCAGATATATTGCCAATTCCATTGGCACACAGGTAACTGTTATTCAACAGAGTTGCTTAATATGCTAGCGATGTTCCTGCTTTGCACACGATCCCTGAATGTTGTGTTAGCAATACTGATGCAGGGAAGGGCAAGACAGGAGTTGGTTTTTTTTAATTTTCTTCAGAGATACGATATTCACTCATTCATTTCAGCATGATATTGACTCTGAAAAGTTTTTTCTTGCCCCTGGGAAGTGTCATATGTTGTCTTTCTGTACTTGGTCTGATCTTCTGAAAACTTAAGGCTATCTTGAGCCAATTGGTTTACTCTCTTTCTGTCTGGAATGGGGCAAGTGAATCAGGATTCAGTGTTTTGTTCTTAGCAGTGAATGTATCTGAATGCAAGTTTAAGGTAGTTATTTATTTTAAAACTGGGATGAATGTGCTTTTTTATTTTTTCCTCAAAATATATAATAGACACATAGAGGAATATTTCATGCTGAATGGGATGTATTTTGCCAGGGTAGAGTTTGGGTAATCTGAGTGCCTCATTGAAGTTCTTTACTGCAGTGACAACGTTGTCAGTATTGCAAATAACCATGTTTTACATTGGAAACCAAATCTACATCTATATGCTCTCTTCCTGTTTGTAGAAGAGGCCTGTTTTATATTAGTTAAAGGCTTTAGTTGCACAGTTACACAAAAGAATAAGTACAGCCCTGTATGAATTAATTTTCCAATATACCACTTAAACTTTCTTTTCTCGTAGGTTTTGAAACGACCAGAATATTTTGGGAAATTTGGTAAAATACACAAAGTTGTCATTAATAACAGCACATCATATGCAGGCTCACAGGTAAGGCAGAAACCTTTGTGATTTCTTTATTGCTTTAGAGGAAATACATGGGTGCAGAATTAATCTAGGGCTCCCTATTTCTGATTAAACAATAGGTAAAAGAAGTAAAAAGAAAAAAAAAATACAGCATTGCAAAAATCAAATTATCGTTAAGCTACTGAGGCATTGTCCAACCAGACTCTCAAAGTTGGATGCGAGATGCAATATAGAAAGATTAAAGACTGGGAGACAGGATGAGAACCTTCAAAGAAGCAGCAATGTGACATTTATTCACTAATGTGCATTTCAGGGATAAAATGTCTTGAATTATTTCTAGGACTTTCAAACAACATTTTGATGCATTTCTTTTTTCCCCCCGTTCTTTATGCATCATCTAAATTTTTATGAATTCTACCATTTTTGTCAGTTTTGCTGTTAAAAGCATCTAGCAGTGAATGTACCAGTTTATGAAGTGAGCTGCTAAAAAACAACTTAATGTTCAGATCTGTCTAAGGGGAGAAATATGTATATTAAATATGGTATGCTTTCTTTCTAGGGTCCAAGTGCCAGTGCATATGTAACCTACATCCGGTCAGAAGATGCTCTCAGAGCTATACAGTGTGTCAATAATGTGGTGGTAGACGGCAGAACACTTAAGGTGGTAATATTTTTACATTCTTACATATGTGTGCTAGGACACTAGTATCAGTGCATAGTATAAAGTTTTATTTGTATGGGCATGCTTGTGTTGATGAACAAAAATGTCTGTTTTATTGGGTATTGGGTTTTGACTGATATTCCTAGTATTCATTACAACACGGAAGTTCAGTGAGCTTCCAGCATGCAATCTTTTAGTGGGTTAGCAGGTAACTTCTTAAAACAAAAGTCTGAGACAAAGGAAGAGATGCACCACCTCCCCCTTCCCACAGGAGCTTTTTTTTGCTGTATAGCTTAATAGAATGGTGTGAAAACCTGATTATTCACTTTTACAGAGCATTTCTGTAGTCCAAACACCACACCTCTCAAAAGCGCCCTGGGAAATGCAAGTTTTTTCCTTTTGGTATCTGTGTAAATAGGTATTCAGGCTGACTTGGCCAAATTGGTGGCTATAGAAAATCATCTAGTTAATATTCATTTCCTGACCCTGCTACAAAACATTAACCAGTTTCATGTAATACAAACTCATAACTACTTCTTTGGCTGCTTATAATTATGAATGGAAATATTTACTGAGGCTTTATTTAGGTTGTATGAAAATAGAAATACATCCTAATTATCTAATCCTCAAGTACATAAATTTCTTACTCATGGACTTCTTAGTCCATCTGCATCAAAAAATGCATTATGATGGAACGCTAAATCTTGGGAGGGAATATTTTTTTTTACAAATACAGCTTTTTACTCATGCAGCAAAAGACATTCTTAACTTCCAGTACTTAAGTAATGAATTTTTTTTTCTTTCTTCAGGCATCATTAGGTACAACAAAGTATTGCAGTTATTTTCTAAAAAATATGCAGTGTCCAAAACCAGACTGCATGTATCTACATGAGCTGGGAGATGAAGCAGCTAGTTTCACAAAAGAAGAAATGCAGGTAAGTGTGGTGAATGGGAAACACATGAAATGTGACATGTATGTATTTTGTTGTATGTAATTCAGTCTAATATGTGTATAATATAGCCTTTTGCTGAATGTTATGGCAGAGATGAATTTTGAAATCCGAAAGGTGATTAACCAGTTGAATATTGGAAGTAAACAGTTATTTTTTTTCAGTACATGCTGCTTTTAAAGGCTGAAAAGTCCACTGCATGTTCATGAGTCAAAAAGATGGAGGTAAACTCCTAGCCAAAGAGTTCAAATCACCTTGAGTTAGCTACTTCCCCTTCGTTCATGCCAATGCAAGATAATGTGTTATTTTAAATCTCCATGAAAGAAATTAGTGAAGATCTGGGTTTTCCTGTAGGTGTTGTGTGTGTGGCCGGTTATTATGGCTTAACTATTGTACTGTGATTTGGCCGTGCTATCTGAATTCTGATATCCCTTTTAGCCTACGAAGGGTATAGAAACTGTTTGGGAATAAAACATTGAGGGTAACTGTAACAGAGGATAAATACTGATGTGGAGATTTTTTTAATATCTCAACATAAAAGTGCTCATTATCTAGGATAGAAATGCAAGCAACTGGATAGCTTTACTTTCTCAAAGCTGGTAGATTCTGAGGTCTTTTGGATCTGAGTCTGTCTTTCTGTATGAGGTATGGTAAAGGTTTTGAACTCAATCTCAAGTATGCCAGCCTTGCATCCATGCTGTAATTTTTACATGTGGTCTGTCACAAAGCAGGTGGTCCCCATCTCTAGTACTAGCACAAATGTTGCACAAGTAGATTTTATTTTGTGTGTTAGGCTGATATAAGCCGGACAATTATTAAACTATTAAACGTTTTTCTACGAATTAGCAGTTATTTCTGAGGATTCCAGTTACATTTTCATAAATTAAAAAAATACCATGCTAGTTTAGGTAAATAGTCCCTGTAGTATATGTTTTGTCTCAGATAATGGCAATAGGAGGAAAAATTCAAGGAGAGCTTGCAAATCGGGCCACCTTCCCTGTTCATTTTTTCTGTATTTCTCCCACCACCTAGATCTGTTACGTTATACATGTTTGAGGGTATGTTCCTGTCTAGGCTTTTTAGATTTTTATAGAGCTGTCAGCCATGAATTTATTTAATCAATTTTGATAATGTCAACCCTGTAGTCTTTTGTGGCAGCAAGCCCCAGAAGTTCACCAGGTGTTTTGTAAAGTGCTTTCTTTTGCCTGTGTTAAACTAATCTCCAGTTAGTTTTGTCAAATGTCCCCTAGTCTTAGCATTGTAGAACTTGCTGAAAGCAAAACCCTTATTCACCTTATCCATTGCTCTTGAGATGTTGTAAAAAATGATATTACCTCTCAGCCTTCTCTCCACGTTACCCAGTTTCTGGGCTTTTATACTTCTTTGTAAAGCAGTTCCTCCCTTTCTGTGATAATTTTGGTTGCCCTTCTCTGTACCTTCTGTGTCCTCCTTGAGATGCAGAAGTCAGCTGCATCATACTCATGATGTGGGGAAGCAAAGTTTAATATAGCAGTCATGAATGTTTTGTGTGTAGTGTGGTGTGTGGGGTTTTTTGTTGTTGTTTGGTTTGGTTTTGTTCGTGGTGTTTTTTTTTTTTAAGTGCCCTTTCTAATGTTGCCTAGCATGTTTTTCATGTTTGGCTGCCAGTGCATCATCAACTAACAATTTCAGAGATCTGTTGGCAGTAACCTCGGTATGTCTTCTCTGATCTGTAACAGCCAGTTCACAGATCAATAGAGTGTTAGTACGGTTTAGGCTACCTTTCCCTTGGTGCATTACTTGATAACGTCTCTGAAGCTTATTCGCCACCTTTTTTTGCCTGTTTGCTGAGTTCTCTGGCAAAGAGCTTGGTATTGTCAGCAAAGAACTTGCTCTTCACTCCTTTCTCATGCGTGCCGTTGCATAAAACTGATGCCAGTCATCAGTTCTCATTGCTTGCTTCTGCACCCTAAAATAGTGACCAGGAAGTCTTACCTTTGCCTTTCTATCTTTGAACAAGCTTCAATCCACACAAGAACCTTCATTCTGTCACAGGGCAGCTTTGTAAATAACTTCTGGTGTGAAACCTTATCAAACGCTTTTTCGAAAATTTTGCGAATCTTCTTTATTTATGTTTATTGACACTATCATAAAATTGCATCATTAGTTACGTCGGATTCCCCTTTATAGAAGATGTTCAGATTTGTTCCCAGGAGATTGTTTTTATCAATGAACTTGTATCTTCTCTTGTGTTGTTTTTTTTTTAAGATATACTTTATAATCTGAGGAGGGATGGAGGTTGAATTTAGCAGTCCGTAGTTCACAGGATTTTTTTTCTATAGCCCTTTTTGTAGAAGGCAATGGCAATCTGTCAGTCGTCTGGCCTAACTGCCAGTTAAAACTGATAGACTACATACCTTGGCTAGGAATTCAATTTCACATATGACTTCCTTCAGAAGTCTTGAGTGGATAATACTTGATCTTGGTAGCTTAAATCAATCTTTCCATTCCTTGTTACATTCCTTTAAACTTTCTTCTTGGTTTCATATTGCTTTCTTGGAAATCACTGGAAATTGCACAGCTATTCAAAAGTACCTTGTACTTTCAGTGTACCAGCTTTCTGGGGTTTGGGTTAGTGTCAATGAATTTACAGGTCCATTTAATGACATTGAATGTTCATTGTCACAGACTTTGATTCTCTATTTAAAAAAAAAATAAAATTGTCAATGGATGAACTTACATTCTAGGTTCAGTAATTGTCAATACTGAGTTAGTAATATCACAACATTTAGCTCTATTAACAAACTGAAAAGAACTGTTAAAACTCCGGGAAGTCTCTGAAAGTGAAGTTGGGAATTTAGGTGACGTAGGTTGGAGATGCTAAGTTTGGTCTCTGGTTTGCCTGTTATAAATAAAGCACGATTTCCGCAAGCTTTCTTGGTTTTTTTCTTACATTTATGTGACAAGTAATTGAGGTTAGGACTGGCCTGATGTTCCTGGCCATGACATTCAGTCTTTTGCTACTGAAGTCTTAAGCAAGATAAGATATCCAGGGAGGTTTCTTCTTAGTCAGCTGCTTAATGTTTGCAGTGCAGATCTGTGCATCTGAGCTGGTTGCTTGTATTGTATTTGTAGTGGATGGTGCAAGAAGCATTCCCAGCAAGCAGTATATCTCAAAGTTTGCATTTAGGTGAACCACACTTTTTTTGACTGTAGGTAGTAGCTTGGATGTAGACACTGACAAAATTTAGTACGATGATCCATACATCAGACGTTTCAATGTCCTTTTTTGAGGATTGTGTAAGTTGATTAAATAGAGAAAGATACATTCAGAATCAGCCAGTAATAGAGAACTGGAGAATTAAGTAGCAAAAACTGGAGATATTTGTAGCATTTGAATGACTTGGAGTATTCAAATGTCGTCTGCAGTTGCCCTTCTAAAGGAGTCCATAAGGAAATTTAGTTCCTCAGCAGTACTGTTTTTTGAATTTTGTCAAATATTCATGCTAATTTTTTTTTAAAGCAAGTGATAGGGTTTTTTTGTAATATTTTTCTAGCAGAACATCCATGTTGTCGGTGCATCAGTTCCATTCCTGTTGCAACAAAATATTTATAAAGGGAATGAATTTAGTAATGTACAAATATTAATATTTTAGAGGTACAAGTAGTGTGAGAGCTTTTAAATCAATACTGAAGATATGATAGGTAATAGCATACATATTCCAGACTTAAGATTCCGAAGGCCTGACTATAAATCTCGGCACTTGTTTCCTTTGCTAAAGGACATCTCTTAGTATCTGGAAACTAGATAAAAGCTTTTGACAACTTCAAATTCACTATCCTATTTTGCCTCTTGATTCAACTCATTAGAATACTTAACTTGCAAATACTAGTTCTTAGGTTGGAGTAGTATAACAAGCTACAAAAAATGTGAATGCTTATCTAGAATTTGTTTCAGATGTCACTTTAAATGTTGGGGGAGGTGGATTTTGCTGATTTTGTTTTAAATATTTAGCCACAGAATGTTATAGATAAGCTAGACTGAAAAATATTCTCTTCCTTCACTTATCAGATTAAATATTTTGGAGTTGGATTTGACCTCCTCAATTTCTGAAAGCAAGAAATTGTCCTCAATTAATTCAATTAGTTAAAACAATATTTCAATTTTTCAGTTATTAAAAAGAATGATTTATCAGTTATTGCTCAGAATATACTCCTTGTCAGATGATAGTTAACACTCAGACCACCTCAGCTGTTTTTATTAAACTGTTATAAAATGGCTTCCATTTTGGAACTTTTGATTTGAGAGAGACTCTTTGCTGCTTCCCATCTTCTGAAAAGCTTAGTATGGTTGATTATGTCAAATGCAGATTGACTTGGAGATTTAGCTGTTTGTGATTTAAGAGGTAGATTCTGTTTTAGAAGTCTTCAATAAAATTATAAATGGGTAAATACATCCAAGTGATTTCTAGGCAAGCTGTAGATTCATTGAGATCATGTCTGTGCTGAGATTGAGAAGCACTGTTCTGAGTTTGTCAAGAGTGACCTGTTAAATTGTTAAAGCCCAATCACTAAGCTTTGGGACATACACATGTACATTTTTAGTATCAATCAATATTAAACCAGTATTCATTCATTGTGCGTTTCTCTTTCCTTAGGCGGGTAAGCACCAGGAATATGAACAGAAACTACTGCAAGAATTATACAAATTAAATCCCAACTTTCTCCAGTTATCTACGGGTACAGTTGACAAGAACAAGAACAAAGTGACAGCACTGCAGAGGTATGATGTGTAAGTACTGATGCTGGACCGCCTGGCTCTGCTTTCTTTCTGGTTATTCCCAAAGAAAACTTTCTTATTCCTATTGCATCCTCTAAGTTGCCTGCTGTTTTTAGTGGCTGTTATATGATAAACTTGATAAACTCTGCTACCAGTTTTCTCTGTACAGAGACATTTGCACTGCTTTATGCTAATACAAAGTGAGTGTGAGTCTTACTTAGTAAAGAAATGTTTTTCTGCTGTGTGCATTTGGATCACTAGTTCAGAATGAGGTACTCTTATTCTGAAAAAAGTCTGTATATTTTATATTTGCATAAACACATAATATTTATTAAAGACCAGCTGTCAGCTTTCTTGGTACAGTGTCATGATGAATGCAGTCTGTACTCTCACAGCTGAGACACTTTGTAGTCTTGATGTGTGTTTTATTGTGTTTTTTACATAGTGATTTATAGTGAAGTCCTTACATGAGGTATAAGGACCTTGGAAATTGAAAGTAAAATCTTTCTTTTGTGTGAGTAAGAATTCATGTTATGTGAATAAAAGATTTCTTGCTTTCATCTAGTAAACTTAAATGTTATATTTTTCGCTACATTGTAATTGCTGATATCACTTATTACTGCTTGTTAAAATAATATTCTGTTGAAGTAGTTTGTTCAGTAAGTTATGAAAAGCTTTCTGTCCGTATGAATACATAGTGATAAAAAGATAAATGAAAGCCTAAGATCATCTGTCCTTATCCACTCAAATGTCACATTGCAAGTAAAGAAATAAAAACTGTTAACAACTTCCTCCATCCTTTTTGTAGGATTTTCATAACGAGATGAGCCGAGTGGAATGTAAAAGTTACATGGCACCTCGTATGCACCTTGGCCTTGTAATCAGTGTTTGTGTTTTGTGCCAGCTTATCCAGTACTGAATTTTTCAGAAAGACAATAATTTGACACTGGCAGCATCACTGCATAACAGTTTAAGCAAGAAAGTGGCTGCTGTATCTAAAATATTGCCAATGTAGCTTGAATAAGCAGAATATAGTTCTGAGAACTGGTATCCCAGCTCGTGTCCTGAGATTATTTTCTTTTACTTCTAGAGGAAGTGTCATGTGCTCTGACTGCAAGTAGTCCAGACCTCCAATTGGATTTTTTCTTAAGGATTGTGCCACTTCTTATTTCTTGGGCACTGGTTCAGTATTGACTAGGAAGGTGGAGTGCAGTGGTAAAGCAAGTACACCATTTCATGAATTTGAGTATTGATTTATTTTATGTTTAAGTCCGAACTAATCTTAATTTGAAACCTGATTAGATCCCAGCAAAGCAAATTATACCAGTGAGGAAAGACTGCTCTATCTGAAACGGCAATGCACTTTTAAGCCTTCAGAAGGCACTTATGAATTGGAGCTTGGCCAGTCTGTGATGCTAACATTTTGGCACTTGTGGAAAAAGTGGCAAGTTACTCTAAAGGCAACAAGGGGTCTGGAGTTAATTTCTCTTGTCAGCTGAACAGCATCATCACAACACAGACTCTGTTCTTTGCTAACAGCTAGGCACCACCTTTTGTGTTGAAAAGTGAGTTTCTTCTTGCAGCTGAGATTTTGAAATGTTTCTTCAAGTCCCATCTCATCAGTACAAAACGTAGCTGATGAGCTAGTGAATGTGTGTTGTTGTTCTTCACGGCTTTCCACCCAGTCGGATTTGTGGTTTTGTCTTGATTCATTGATAAAAAAATTAATATTTCTGGCAGTTTGTTAGAGCCTCTGACAGTTTTGTGGTGGTTCTTGTGTTTCCAGGGTGCAAGATTTCTGTTTCAACAGAAGCTGAATTCTATATAGTAGATATTTAGTTATAAATAACCAGTAGTAGAAAACAGTTTCTTAAACTGTGCATAATGCTTTTTCACAATTGTGTTCTAATTTGAAAGGTCCTACTTGCAGAACCTCTTTTCTTGCTGCTGAACGCAAATGTTAAAATCCTCCAGTGCCACTTTGTGTACTCATCTCTTAGTATGTCACTTGATAGTTACGGTGACTGCATTCTCTTACAATTAGACGTATATTCCACATTTAAAATGGATCAAGCACTTTTCCTACTGACTTTTTCCTAAAGAACAGAAATGAAGGCTTTCTTATGCTACAAGTGGAAACACTTGTTAAGCACTTGCTGGTCTTTTAGAGAACAGCCCTTTAGAAATATGCAGCTTTGAACTTAAACAAACAAACAAACAAAAACTCACCAACAAACCAAAAAAACCCACACTCAAAAAACCCCACCCCAAAACATGAAACAGTTCCTTTCTCTTTACCTTTCTCTTTGGATGCAAAACTGACTTTAACTGTGAGGTTTTAAGGTTAGTTTTAGTGTAGAGATGGCTTTGCATTGCGGCAGATATAAATTTGGTATTTAATCTGTTAGTGGGTTGAAAGTTTTCTTATATCTAGATTACAACTCATTTTTGTAAGGATGAGAATATTGACTGAAATTGTGCTGCTGATGGTGTATCTCTGTTCCTAGATGTTCAGTATCTGATCAGCTCGTTATCTCTAACATTTTAAATGAGGTATATGAGAAAAGGTGGAGGTAGAATAGCAAATCTTAAAGTACTAACTGAGATTTGAGGGTAGCTAGTAATAACAATTTTATCTGAATAGAGGTAGGAACACTTGTGTTGCTATCAGCAGCTATAGGAATTTCCAGATTCTGACTGTGAATTTACTAGTTTGACCTAGAGATGTAGAGTAAATGTTGGACTGTGTAATAAAAACATGTTAAGGGGGACATCAGGAGCAGCATGTGTATTTAAAACAATGTTTTTTGAAAGCTTCTTCCTTACAAAAACAGCACTTGGACACTAAGAACGGCATCCTGATTGAAGCAAATGAAAAGCTAAAGTTAATATAAAAACTGGAGAGCACAAAGGCAGATCTTTTGTAGTAAGATTGTAGGCTTAGCAGGTGACACTGTATTTGAATGCATTCAGTTATAGATGATATTCCAGCTTGCTTCAACTTGTATAAAATGTAACTATTTTCAGCAAAAACTTGGGCTTTGCGTCCTCTCTTGAACTTCTCAGACCTAATATGTACTCCGAAATTAAATTTAATGTTACTTTATAAAAGGGAAGCAATTATGGCTTTAAACTAGAAATGAAGGGAGCAGTAACTTGAATGAACAGTGTGTTGGTCTGACTGGTCTCATGGTCTGTTAGTGAAGCTGTGGACTCTTGTGTAGGCGTGACACAAACTTCATCTGTCGGGGCCAGGCATGATAGGGCCTGGAATATAAAGCGTGGATTAAAAAAAAGTGATTTAGTTCATGATTTACAGAACTTAAAAATACTTATGGGATAAAACAAATAATTCTAAATGAGATGTGTGTACGTCTGGATACTTGAAGCTGTCGATGGATTTTTATTTGTGGCTTCCTGCCCCCCTCTCCCCGCAAATGGACAAGTTTGGACTTCAGCACTGGCAGAGCAGCTATCTAGTCAGTGAAGAAAACAGAATTCCCCCCAGTTTTCTCTCTCCCCTCCCTACCCCACTAATTCTTTTTTAAGTCGTCACCATTTAAAATCTGAGAAATAATATCCAGATAAATCTATTCTTATGGATTGTCTGGCACACGGATTCATTTTCCCAGTGCTTACAATTTTTAAGAACACTTTCTTCATAACTTGAACTCTTTTTTCTTTTTTTTTTTTCCACTCTTGCCTTTTTCCAGACCCAACAGTAATAACAAAGATGCCTGGCCATCATTACAGAGTTCAAGTAAATCAGCCAACGGTTTAACAATGGAACACAGGAAAACGCCTCCTATATTAGAAAATGGCACAGACCCAGAACACATGACTCCAGATGGTGCAGACTCAGATTTCGGGTAATTGTGCTGCCTTTTATACTTCAGATAGCTTACTTTCTCTCTCACTGATTGGTGTGGAGGGAATGATTCTCCAGTCTCTCTCTTTTTGGTTGGAGAACTGGATTCAAATCCTGATCAGGTCACAAAAAGCTGGGCTTAGCCTAGCCCATGTCAAAAAGACTGATTGGCAGATTCTGCAGGAGAACCCTAATGTGAAGTTAGTAAGTGATGGTACAGGTAAGGGCTGAGGGGAACTAAATAACTGCTGGATCAACAGCTTATACAGCATGCATGGTCCCAGCCAGAGCTGAGCCCTTCATTTCTATACAGAAGCTTCCACAAAAGTAACATGCTAGTTGCTATACATGAGGAGGCTTGTCACTTGGAAAAGCTTCAACAGAAGGAAGCTAAATGTTAGGGCTGAATATCCGTCATCTCTTTACAGTGGTGTGTTCCAGAAACACAACTGCAGAGGTAAGGGTTCCGTGATTATCACTCCGTAGCAGGAACAGGGCAGCAGATTCAGCTGTGGCTTCTTTGTGCAGAGGAAGCAATTCATCTGCTTGCAGTAACTTCCTTATTGCTAACCAACATTTTTCCTTCTTTTGATGCCCTCCTTGAATAGAACTTATGTCTTCTTCCATCATAAGCATCACTTGTCGTTTCAATGGTAGTCTGTAGTCATGCTGGTTTGTTTTTTATGGACCCCATTAGGTAATATCGGTTGGGCTCATTCAGAGGTTGCATGGACAAATAACAAGATACTGTAGTATTTCAAGAAGTGGCATTGCCAATCAGGTAGCTGGTCTTCGTTTTAAATCAATAATGGACCAACGCATTAACATCGTGAGTGCTGTTGAAGTGCTACCTTCTTGTTAGGCTTAATAGCAGTCCTGTTGAGGTGTGATCAGAGATCCTATCATTGTCTCTCAGTAGTGACATGCAGCTTCCTTCTTTTCTGAAAATAAGGTATTAAATGTAGGTAAAGATATTATAGCCAATAGATAATGAATCTTGTTCATTCTTGAGGACAGGAAGTGTGTCTTAAAATGAAAGTCTCCTTAGGCAAGTTCAAGTAAATAATTAAATAAACATTTTCAGCACTTAGATTGACATTAAAAGTTGTCTTACACATAGCTTTTGAAACTGCAGCATTTTGTGACTTTGTGTCAGCAGCTTTGGGAAAAGAATTTGGCTGGAATATCAGTACTACAATCAGAATGATTGTGTAGTGAAAAGCCTACAGCGAACTTTTGTGTTATAGGTATTAGGAAATTACTAACCAAAGGCAGCTGGTTCCAAATGGAATAACTTTATTCATGCTGTTCGACCGCTGAGTAGAAAGTATGTGTAAATCTTCAGTAGGGTGATGCTTGTTTGCAAATATATTCCTTTGATTTTCCTTTTACAGTCATAAATACTTCAGTTTAAGTTTTCTTTTTTAGATACTGACTCAGTGTCCTTTTGCACAAAAATGGTTTTTATATATGGATTACTCTTACACAGTTTCTTTAGAATGGAGAAGAATTAATTCTGCTGGGTTTTGACTCTAATTTAATTATTCTAGGATCAGGAGAACAAATATGGGGGGAAGCAATCTTAGGAATTTTTGATCTTGATATGTAGGTCTACACAATATTTAAAATTTGCAGCAGCAAGAGGTGTTTGAAAACAAGGTGTAGCTAGAATCTGGAGTCTGCACCCAGTTAAAGTAGTTACTATATATTCGTTAAAATAGTTACTATGTGTATTAATTTGTCTTGTGCTAACATATCATACCTGTAATTTGACTTGTATCACATTCTGACCTCTTAATGGAACTGAAATTCATGTTGTTCTGATCCTTGTTTGTAGGACTGGTGTTTTGGGCTATGCAGCCCGATGCTTGTTCATCTTCTCTCATGGGTAGATAAAAATGAAAGTACCTTGAAGTTATAATCTGAACTTGAATTAATACTGTTTCATTAGTGTGGTATTTAGGATAATTAAGGCAACTCACAGATGCTGGTCAGAATCTTGAATCCTGAGAAGTGCCATTTCAGCTGAGTCATGTTAGTTCCCAGTGAATAGCTTTCTGAGGATATTTTCTGCTGTGTCTTATCTTTTATTCTCTACATTTGTTGGCAGTTTTTTATGCTCTGTCTTTTCCTGCATTTTTACCCTTCTGTCATCTCAAAACTCAACTTTCTTACCTTAGAACTAATTTCTGCTAGCTCAATCTTGAAGGCTGGTGAGAAGCTTAACTTGCCACTGGGACTAAATAGTTAATTTAATTTTCTATCTCTCCCCAGATTTTTCCAGGACTTGTATGGGAACCGATAGGTTAGGTATTTGGAAAACAAATCTATCCGCAGGTTTCTCTTGAGTAGTAGCCTAGATGAAACTAACCACTATGAAATACCGCCACAGTACAAGAATTCTGGTTTTGTGGATGGTGTAAAGTTACTATTAACATGTTTAAAACTTTCCTTTTGTTCCTTGACAGGGCAATCAACAAGCTGAGTGGAGACTGGTGGGAAGTAGTATTACAGGATATGGCAAATGATTGAAATAGTTATGGTTAAAAAAAATAACAGTCTCATAAATACTAAGCGGACTTTTTTCTGTCTTAATGCCTCCTAATTAATTTCACTTTGTCTTTATTTCAAGGCTTTTCTTCCACTACAAAAGCAAATGTGGATTTTTCCCCTTAAATACTTGAGTGTCTTATTGTCTCTTTTCCCTTCCCACTTTTTGCAGCCCTATCGACAAACCTTCGGATTCCCTCAGTATAGGAAATGGTGACAGCTCTCAGCAGGTAAGACAATAAATATAAATGCTGTGAAAGTAAGAGTTGAGTTTGAGGGTTTGGTGCAATTTGTAGTTGGAGAAGCAGATACTTTCTGAAGTTTATCATAGTTTTAAACAAACTAAAAAATGCTGCTGCTAAATTGATTTTTGTTTCACCTGTACTGAGCTATATAGTAACTAAGCTAATTGCAGACAAAAGTTTTGAGGAAATTTTTCAACGCTATTAGTGAAGAATACTTTCTATAGAAACGCTCATGCGCTAATTGTTTCTCTTCCTCTCTTGCTTGTAGATAACAAACAGTGACACACCTTCACCACCGCCTGGTTTAACAAAACCCAATCCAGTTATACCCATCAGTTCATCTAATCACAGTGCACGGTCTCCTTTTGAAGGGGCTGTAACAGAATCACAGTCACTCTTCTCTGACAACTTTCGGCACCCTAACCCCATCCCTAGTGGGCTTCCTCCATTCCCCAGCTCTCCACAGACTTCAAATGACTGGCCCACAGCACCAGAACCACAGAGCCTCTTCACATCAGGTATGTACACGGGTTACATGGCTGAGTATTGCTTGCTTCTGCAACTAATGTCTGTGTAGAACTGTGTAGAACTAAAAATTCTAGAACTTGCTCCATACTGTTTTTTACTCCTTTATGAATGATTAAAATTTGTCACTTAACTACAAATGAATTGCACTGACATAAGGGTTTATTCTAAAAGAAGCTTTACAGAGTTTTCCAGCTGTGTGGCTAAATTATCAGAGTGCTTATTTTAGTTTTTCTTAGCCATGTGCCTGTCTAACTAATAAGATGTGACATGTATGCTTAATATTTAATGTTACAGGTTTTTATTGAGTGGGGAAAATACGTGGTGTCAGTATATGTTGGTGTAATAATCTGTTATAATCTATAATTTGAAAATCAGAAGCTGTGCAGTGGAATTCAGAATTTTCTTTAGCATCCTGCATAGTTACCTGGAGATGCCTAATCTTTCTGAAGTGAGATTATATACATTCAGAAAGGACGAAAATATGGTTGATTACATCAACTGAAAGATACTTGTATTTTCCAGGTACTTCATATGAATGAAACATTGTTTTAGGTGCGTTTGTATAGTCTTGGGAATGGTTAACAGTATTTAAGGGCGTATTTCAGCATTTAAAATTATAAATTTGAGCGAGTTGTTAGAAAATTAAAGGAAGCAATATCAGTAATAAACAGAATGTAAATGATACTTTAGAATGCGGTTTACTTAGTGACTAGTCTTTTGATGTTTATTGGACTTCTGGATGTCCTAATCCTGTTTGTAAACAATACTTATTACCAAGACTTGTTGCTAAGGTACTATATGCACCAATTTTGTGAGGATTAAGCAGCAGAGAGACACAACTTCTAGGTAGTAGACGTTTTGTTAGTTTCGTAATTACTGTAAAAATCTATGGTTGTTATTTAAAGAAGAATACAAATAACAAGTTTTTGTCTGTCTGGCAACTGTTTTTATTTATTGTCATGGATTTTAGAGTAAAAATAGAAGTGTAGATTTCTTTTCTGAGACAGGATACCGAGTTTGATTTTAACTACTTGAAGCAGACCAGGTTCCCTACCAGCAGAGGGAGTTAATGTTGTGAGTCATACTACTTTGCACTCATCCACTTGTATTAGCACAGTTTTGAGGAAAAATATGGTGAAACTAGACCCAGCATTCACTGAACCTGAATAAGAAACCTAAACAGTATAAACAAGTAGTAATTGAAAATGCAGGGAAATTCTGATAGGCCTTTTTTTGCAACGCTGCCTCAAAATATTTAACAGTATCTTGTAGTGCAGCTCCTTATTTCCTTTTGTTTTATCAAGTTGTCTGCTCAAGACTTTGGCTTGTTTTGCTTCATAAGGGCAGACAGTAGGGTTTGTCTTTGACGTTTTTTTAACTACCGCTCACCTTAAGTAGAAATCTGTGACAGTTCGATCTGAAAATGGCATTCTAAACTGGTGACTAAGGTGTCTTTGGGGAATGTATAAAGTAGTGTTATATGAAAGATAACTAGCAATATAGATTCAGATTCACTGAGGCTGAAATTTTTATATGGGTAAACACTAATTTTTGTTCTAAATTCCATTCCCCTCCGACAGAAACTATACCAGTATCCTCCTCCACAGACTGGCAAGCGGCTTTTGGGTTTGGTTCCTCCAAACAGCAAGAGGACGACTTAGGGTTTGACCCCTTTGACATCACCCGCAAAGCCTTAGCAGACCTGATTGAGAAGGAACTGTCAGTTCAAGACCAACCTTCCCTCTCGCCCACATCTCTTCAGAACCCTACCCCACACACTACAACTGCCAAAGGGCCGGGCTCTGGATTCCTGCATCCTGCTGCACCCACAAATGCCAACTCTCTCAGTAGCACCTTTCCAGTTATGCCACAGAGGTTCCCACAGTTTCAACAGCATCGAGCAGTTTACAACTCCTTCAGTTTTCCAGGCCAAGCAGCTCGCTATCCTTGGATGGCCTTCCCACGCAATAGCATCATGCACTTGAACCACACAGCAAATCCCACCTCAAATAGTAATTTCTTGGACTTGAATCTCCCACCACAACACAGCACAGGTCTGGGAGGGATCCCTATATCAGGTAGGTGAATCAGGACAGCTGTGAATATGACTTAATTCATGCTTTCAGCTTCTCTGAGCCAGTTCAGGAAATGGGAATAGCCAGCTACAAGTGGTATCTCTTGACTGTCATGCTAGGTTTATGAACAGGGGGAGGAATATTGTTTTAAATAGGCCCTTTCCATTAAAAAAAAAGTGTATCTGGATTTTTAGCCTTGTAATATTGAGCTTTATAAGGAAGGTGGAGTATTCTGTGCCCGCTTAATTTTGTGCCAAAGCAGATTGGTATTTTGGTTCTTCAGTCTTGCCGTACTGGCTTTCCTTAGGAGTAGACCCTGGGAGTGCATTGCAACTTCCATGTCAACATGCAGGTGCTGACCAGACATCTTAAAATTGTGAGGAAAAACTATAATGATGGTAATTTGTGCCAGATGTCTTAGCTGGGTTGTTCCCTCTTGCGCATAACCAAATGGCTACACAATAAAACATTCAGTGCTGTTCATTTCTGTACTTCAGATGGCCTTAATATTATGCTAATCTTTCACTGAATGGATGCTTGCAATGTGTGTAAGAGGATTCATCCTGATTGTAAGGGTCGTAATGTTGGAAGAAAATAAATGTGCAGTCAGGCCAGTTGAGGCTGCACTGAGTGGATTGCTAGGCTCTTGCAGCAAGCGTTACAGATAAGGAGCTAATTGTAACAATAATTGTCTTGGTCAAAAATTCGCTTCTGGAGTTTGAAGTCCTTCTATGCTTCCAATTTAGCTTGGCCTGAACAGGCTCTCTTTTCATAACAGGAGAAAAAAGTTGTATTAAATGTATAGTGAACTGCAGGTAGAAAGTCTCTATAAGCTCTTTGTAGCCTTGAGATGGAGAAAACTGCTTCTTGAGATGTTGCCAGTGTTGTTTTCTTTTCATGGGTTTTGAGAAGTACTAGCTATACTGTAAGAAAGTAGCCTAGAAAAAGTCAATGTACAAGAGCTAATTTTGGCTGTTACTTCCGTTTACTTTGTCCTCTTTGAAGGCTTGTTGAAGCTACAGTACTGTTGTAGGGTCCTTAGGCTGATTCATAGTATAAACACTTGGTCCAGACTACAAATCCAAGTAGTTCAAAACTATACTGGCAGTGGCAAAGTTTGTTGGGTTTTTTTTTTTTAGTCTAAAATGACTGGTATTTGTTACACTGAAGTGTTAAAAAAACAAACAAACAAAACACAACAAAAACATTCAAAAAAATGCAACCAACTTTTTTTTTTTTTTGACGTGGAGTCAAAAATGCAGCATCCATAACACTGCAAATTGTTGCTTGCTTTTTGCTAAACCACATAGAACTTCCAGGAACGTTGCAAGACATCAAGTTTTGATTTTACCACTCAGTTCTTAAAATTGCTAGTTCAAACGGCCTATAACAAGACTATGTTCTGGACTAGGGGGACCAGAAAAATCCTTTAGTGTTGAAAAATATCTGTTTGTAGTACAGGTTGATTCTAGGTTTGCAGAATTATTCTCTAAATGACATTACTTTCATTGTCTTTGGCAGTTTGAAAGTGGACCTCTTTGTGTTTGTAGAAGACTCCTAGATCCTTGGTACAACTCCTGAAAAGCCAGTTGTGTAGTATTGGTTGATGTACATGATTGTGTCATGTATTTTCCCCCGTATGTTATAAGGCAACAGAGTTGATATTTAAGTATGCCTTTTTTTGTATGCAACTGCTAGAACCAATTAATCTCAAAGTTTTTTTGGCAGATACAGTGCTAAAAACGGAAAATAAACATCTGCTGTAGCCTCTATGGAAAGTTCCTTTGAGTTGGTCTTAATCTCATTATAGAAAACATTGTTAGTTGCCTGGCTGACAATTAGATAGCAGCAGTTGCTGCAGTGCAAACACTTCTCAGCTGATCTACATGTCAGCTTTGATTTATCTTGAAAAAAGTGTCATTTGCACAAGCACAGATTACTCCTTTTTGTTTTTCTGTTGTCAGAAATCAGCTCAAGTCTCAGATAGTTCTGGTTTTGTTTGCTAGGTTATGGATTTATATTGTTTGTATAGTATTTAGTGCCTAGGGCTTTTGTTAGTGATCTAACTGCTTCAGAAATACAAATAATTTGAAAGTCAGCAGATGCCCTCATACCTCTTTTTTTTTTTGTGCTGACTTAATAGTTTCTAATTTATTTATTATTCTGTCTTTTTAAATCCATATCTTGTGTACAGGTCTCAACTAATTCATTCTATTTTCTTTTTGAAAGAATCGTTCCAGTTCTTTATGCTTGCTTTTAATCCATCAGTAGCAGGTATATAGTTATAGAATTTTTCTAGTTTCCTCGTTTCATGTACAGATAGAGCTGTCTGGTGGGGTTGGAGGAGGAAAATGTTGTACGAGTACAGAGAAATCATGTTGATGGGGACTTCATTTCAGTGCTTTATAAGAGACGCTAGCTGACCTGCTAAAAAGGTGGTGTGTATCATAATAGCTGTTTAGGAGTATGGAGACATTAGTTGTACACCTGAAGCTCCTTTTTTGTTACCTCTTTTGTTAGTCTGTATTAAGGTATTTTAGAAATCAACTCAGCTGTTTCAGATTAACAAAAAAGGAAAACTAGTTCATGTTCTGTCTTCTAGCAGTGACCTTCAACTGCTGTCAAAGTTGCATGTTTCCTAAGGTCTTTGATCTCCATTTTTTTATAGGAGTATAAATTCCTAAAGCACATAATACTGGACCAGTTGCTTAAAAAAAACCAAAACAAAACAACCAAACCCCGCAACCAAAACACAACAACAACAAAAACTACAAAAATCCCTCAAACCCACAAGAGAATTCATTTGTACTGTGTGTTTGCCTGCTCTATTTAATCAGCCCTTTTCAACTTTTCTATTGCGTTTATGTGAAAAGAAGCAGATCTAAAAACTTTTATAACTTCATATGAAGTTAGTATACTGTTTTCTAGGCTTTCTAAATCCAGTTTTAGTTTATTTGTGACTTGGAAGCTTGTATGAAGAAAATTATATCTTTTAACCTGCTGCTGCTTCTTCTTTAGGTAGGCGTTAGTATTCACATGAATTTGAAATGCTCACGTGTGACATGTTAAATGTAATGCTCTGACGCTGCCTTTTGTTCAGCTGAGAATCAGAGCTGTGCTGTATTCATAACCCCGCAGCTCTAGGTACTGCTGTCTTGTGATGTGCAACAGATCTAAATGGAGCAATACAGGCACTATATACTTTTTTTAAGCTCTTATTTAAAAATAATTTCTAGATGGAATTTGGTAGCCTGTTTCTCAGAGAAAGCAGTATTTATTAAACTCATTCTGCACTTTCCAGTGAAATGACACGATTGACTTAATTTTTATTATGCATATACTTGAAATGCGTCATATTCATCAGGCATACATTTGTCTCCAACCCATGTTTAAATGAATGTTTTGATTGACAGATTCCTATACTAGCGTTTTTTTCTCCCCTTGCCATATGATTTTGCAAACCATAGCAGATGTTACATGGTCTTATTGTAAGGGACAATATAGGCTTCTTGCTGTTCTGTGGCATGGGATGGATTAGATGATTTACTGTGGAGTAGATGATTTACACAGATAACTGTGTAACTATGCATCAGGAGGAAGGTTCAGTGACTTCTTATTCATGGACAGCATGGTTGTTGCTAAAAGCAATCTTACCACAGATTGTGTGCAAGCTATCCTAAGAGTATAGGACACTGGCTACCTTGTATTCTGCAGATAACGCCAAAGGAAAGATCCACTGATGACAGTGTGGGTGGGTGTGTGCCTTTTATTTTTCTGTTACTTTAGGATAACAGGAAACTCTTTGTAATTTGATAGCTCATATGCTATATTTGCTGCCCTATTGCCTGGTGGTGTTCTAAACTAATAGGTATAGTGTTGGATCAGAGAGTAAAGTAGGTCTCAGATTAATAGTGTGTTTTGAGGCAGACACTTATAAAATGCGATGCATGCATATTAATAATGGGAAAAGAGAAGTATATAGTTTTATTTCTTGAGTTTACTGAGTGGTTGGTAGTCAATGATTTACATAGAAAAAGTATAAGAACAAATTCACACAGTTAAAAGTATGAGGAAAAAGTTGTAAATGGTTAATCTGCCTTTCTCGTCACTTCTATGCAAGATAAGTACTTGACACTTTAGAACACTGGCTGTTATTTCATTTATTAGTTTCATAATTACCCTGAACATAATTCCAAATGAGGAAAAAAATTTAACTGTAAGAACTTATCAATTCAATAATAATGAGGTAGTTTGAAATTTGAACTCTTTCAAGACTAATGCTACACAGTATTGTACGTATATTCTTCCCACGTATATCATTGAAACTCCTTGAGTTTGAAAGAGACCCCCAAGAATCAAATCCAACTCCTGACTCCACACAGGGCAGCCTTAAAATTAAACCATGCATCTCAAAGCATTGTCCAAATGCTTCTTGAACAGGCAATTTATGTATATCATGCATATATTAAAAATCTAAGATAGAGGAAAATAGTCAAGTGAACACAGAGACCGATAGGAAGCACGAAGAATTAAACCCTGTTTTGGATAGGGGAAGAAAAAGTTTTACCTGTTGTCCTTGAAGATAACTAGTGCAAAATCCATCAAGTTACTTTAGCCATCAATCTCACTGATGTGGAGATTGCACTAAACTTACGTGAACTGCTCCTTCAAAACAGGGACTTCAATGTCATAAGTCTTTGTAGTTGAATATAATTGACAAATCAAAATTTTGTTCTCTCAAGACCTTTTTATTTTGGTGTGGCTTCTCTCTTGAATACGCACAGCCTGATTGATGGAATTATGTATATTTAAAGATGAGATTGAGACAATAAATAGGTAGACAGTGCTATTAAGTTTGGGTGCCATCCAGCAGTCTTTGTGGTAGTGGTGTTGTATTGCTTCCTGATTAGTGAGCACATCTTTGAGTGTTACCTGCGTTGGGGTTTTTGTGAAGCAATAGCTGGTCGCAGGGAGGGCGAAGCAATTAAGGTTATATTAAGAAG